AAGATTCGTATTGATACCCTGGCATTCATTGCTGCTTGGAATTGTTATAGGCTCTTGAACATGTGGTGGTTATACCCTGAGAAGTAGTGGAGTAAAGGACCTATGGATTCCATCATGTGTCACTCACTTAACCTGGTATTTTTTGGCCTCAAAATGGGACATTAACAATTCACTCAAGTTGATCAGCAGACGAAAGCACACATTATGTATAGCCTACACTGTCGAAATGATGTCAGTAAGTCTGCATTGTGGCCAAGTTTCTCATTCCATGGAAACTTGAGTCAAACCTGTTGTATGAAGTCAGAGTGACTTCCATCTGTATTACCTTAGCTGTTACGTGATGATTTTACCATAATACATATAGTTTATCTTCATTCCAGCCCTTTGATATATTTTTATTTCACTATGTTAGGTGAATAAAAAAAAAAGAAGCTTTTATCATCTGAAATTTATAATAATATACACCATATTCAATATTTCTTCCAACATATTTACCATAAAGATATATAAGGTGGATATAGCCTTAGTACTGAATCAGACTTCTAGAGCAGTTGGAAGCTTTCAAAACGGGTTCTGATTTAGATTTTCATTTTATTGGCTTTTCATCTATTTATATCTAAAATCAATAGTATATATGAATTTATGTGACAATATTTATGTGACAATATTTATGTGACAATATTGATTATGACAAATAAAGGTTGTCATGATGGTCCTGTCAGAAGTTTGACCTAGTGCTCCTACATTGAAAAAGAGACGAGGCAGGCTTGAAAGGTTGTGACAGGTCTATATAAGGGTTAGCTGAGTCTAAAGTAAACCTTTGATTCATTATACCTGATAAATCTGATTCAAGACGAGTGACTAAGGTTACATGTACATTCAAACCTGCTCATGTGACCACCTCTATTAAGAGACCACCTGTGTTAAGAGACAAATTGATGTTCCCCATTATAGCGATTTCTTTATGAACTGAACCTGTGTTAAGAGACCACCTGTGTTAAGAGCCAAATTGATGTTCCCCGTTGTAGCTATTTCTTCATGAACTGAACCTTTATTAAGAGACCACCTGTGTTAAGAGACAAATTGGTGTTCCCCAGTAGCAATTTTATTTAGGAACTGAACCTGTATTAAGAGACCACCTGTGTTAACAGACCGCTTTTTCGACTTCCCATGTGGGGTCCCTTGATAAAGGTTTGACAGTATGTGATTGACAAGACGGAATGTGTGATGAAGGGATATTTGACAGACAGGACAGAAAATGTGAAGGAGGATTTTATAGGCAAACGGGAAGAAACAAGGATAAAATTGTTGTACAAAATAAGTACGGACATGAAACAGAACGGTTTTTAATGAGGGTGGTAATAGATAACAGGTGGACTACGTTTTCTTCTCAGGTTTTACCTAACTCTGTTGTCTGTGTACCTCGTAAACCTTGTTATTTCGGGGAGTAGAACTGAGCAATATTTTGAAGCTACATCCACTCAAACATCCTTGTGTATAAATATAAACAGATGATTAACAGGTATGATTGAAAGCAGATGACAGGTGTTGCATTAGAGAATATCTCGTTGGTATTCAGGGGAGGGGTAGACAACCCTGCTTGTACGATGTCCCTGCACTGTAAGTTATAGGTTTATATCAGTATGAACTTGCTATTTGCGTGGTACTAACAGTATGTATTATAACCTCCAACATAGATTAAGCCATCTCAAATATACACTGTATGTTCCTAGTTAACTGTTACACTCAGAACAGTCAAGTAAATAGGGAACATATATTTACTAAGAAGGGTTCGTGCTTGATATTCTGATTGAGAATGTGGGAATTCTAAAATTAAAAAATCTCTGAATGAGGAAGGAAAACCATGAATTCCATAAGATAGTTTTAATTATCATTGATGGAGAGGCAATCATGAATTTCTGAATCTAGAAGAAAGATTTATAATGTAATGAGAGGAATCCTGAATTCCTGAATCCAGAAGAGGGATATATCACTGCTAGAGAGGGAATCCTGAATTCCTGAATCCAGAAGAGGGATATATCACTGCTGGAGAGGGAATCCTGAATTCCTGAATCCAGAGGAGGGTCTTATCTCTGATGAAGCTGGAAATCCTGAATTCCTGAATCCAGAAGAGGGATATACCCCCATGAAAAAAAAGTGCTGAATTTTTGCTGAACATTTTACTGAATTTTTGCTGAACACTTTGCTGAACGAATGCTGAAAACCCACATAGGGCAATTGCTGAAATATACCTGAATTTGGCCCAAATGAATATTTTTTTTAAATTCAGAAACGAGATTTGGTGCATTACATGTTCGATAAACCAATATAACGAACAAAAGACCAGTAACATAATTTACCATAGGTTTAAATTAAACTAAATTATCTTACAAGTAATCCAAAAGTATAAACAGTGTAAGAACTACTATAAGAACTATACTGTAATTTAAGCGTAATTATGGGTGGGTGAGAAAGATTCAAAACTTGATGCTTCTAATATTAATGGCTGAGAATTTCAGAAATATTCAAGCTGGACACTTCTTATGGCTGAAAAATTCAAATTGATTCTTGTTTTTCACTCTTTGCAGGATGGTTCCCTACCATGCATTGATCAGTTGGCATCACATACCCTAGCTGTGGCATTAGTCATTCAAAATTTAAAAAAAAAATCCAAATAAAGTGTTGTTATAATGATAAAGGCTGCATGTGGATTAACTCATTCACCCCTGAAGACACAGTTGAACCCTTCCAATTCAAAGGTTGGAATAATTCATTATGAAATTTCAGGGGCGAATGAGTTAAGATGAATTACTGGTTAGGAATGAATAAGAGAGGTTCTGAAAAAAAGTTAGGGTAAATCAGTACTTCGGAAATAAGAGAGCTTCAAAAAATAAGTAAGGATTTATACAATAAAGGCTGAAATAATCTAAACGATGCAAACATACTGAAAAAGTCTTACTTGTAATCACATGTATAATAGATACTGCCCATGATTCTAAGTACATTGACCACTATAAGTCTGACTCTCAGTCCTGAAGGATATGGAATCGTATAATTGTTTAATAAGGAATTGTTAACAAGGATGAGAGTTGTGAAGGAAAAAAAGATATGGAAAGATTAAGAAGTTATTGAATAGAACAAACATGCGTGAAGGTTCACAATTAACGAAGGTCCATAGAAGTAATGAAATTATATAAGCCGGATTACCGATTGTTGTTGTATATATATGTGATGGTGTCCTCGCTGTTGTGAATTCCTCTAGGGTGAGGAATAAGATGGTTCCATCTATATATGCTACAGTGATCTAGCAATTAGAAAAATGTTGGGTTTAATTGCTCAGAGTAAGTTTTGATTGTAGATACATTTACAGAAAACTATAAAACATTTAATGACTTGTAACAGGAAACCTCCACCACATGCAATATCATGACAGGAACCTCGACTATGACAGGGACCTAAGAGTCTTCCATCTGTTGCGAGCACAGGTCGTGTTTGTGGATTAAATATTGATGAGGTTAGGGTTATTTGACCTATTTGTTCCATGGTCGGTCTATCTGACCACTTGTCATTAGGTTAAAATTGGACATGGGGGTGTGGCCTTGCTCATCTGTCAGTGATCTAGTTTTACCAAATTAAGTTGTCATACTAGGGTTTGCATTATTTAACCACTAATATATCCTGAAGTTATTTGACTTCTTGCTGTGAGATTTAATTGGGTCATTTGACCATTTGTCCAAAGGTTTGGTTCTCTTTGAACACTGCTCCTGATGTGAGGATATCTGACTTGACTAAAGTCCTGAGGTTTAGAATATCTGACCACTAACGTGGGCACATTCTAACATTTGAGATGCTGGGCTTACATGTTGTTACCATAGTGATAACTTCATTATAATCTTCTTACCTAAGTTTATCCCAAGAATTGCGCCTCGGCCATATCTCCCTACCCAGTCTCTTCCTTCCTTCAGACCCTTACTGGATATCAACTCTCAAAATTCACTAATTGAACGTGCAGGTCTGCAGAGCAATCATTCCGCAGACCTGGAATTAATTTTGATCCACAGTTTAAAATCCTATCGAGGATATGGGTTGCACTTATATCCTAGCTACTTCGCACCAAGTTATAGGAACATTCATCAAAGCTATATATAATTGATCGTTTGGTTGATGAGATAAATCACATTAGCATACATAATACCCTATACAGTATACAGTGTCTGTCTGACTATAGGCAAAACATATCAGTTATAATTGTCGGCCATATTTCTCTTGTCATCACTTCTTAACACACCTAGCAAGCTGTCCGACTACCAGTGGTAGTAATACAGTGTTTTATGTTTTTTTCAAAGTTACGAGACATCAGTTGTAGAAAAGGGACTTTTTTTAAATGTCTTGGTTAAGGAATCAAAAGGTAAGACCACCAGGTGAAAATCCTAACAATATTTACTCATTCACCCCTGAAATTTCATAATCAATTGTTCCAACCTTTGAGTTGTAAGTGCTCAAATGTGTCTGCAGGGGTGAATGTGTTAAGTAAATATCAGATGATGCCTATTGTGTTACGTAAGATTTTAGATGAAGCTTCTAAACTACTATATAGTTTAATGCGTTTGTAAAATAGTATAATTTCTTATGCATTTTTGTTGTAATCATCAATTGTTTTGCATTTTGCTGTGTTGTCGCTGATATAATTTTGTCACCTTGTCATGTATCACAGAATACAGAATAAAACAGAAATTGTCTATTATCTGAGAAAATTTTATCAACAGGCTGTATGAAGAACATATAAGGACATCAGCTTCTTTGAAAAAGAATGCTTTACAAATCAACCTTTGTAAATAGGTATGACCTGGGCTGACTTTTGGAAACTAAATAAGATGTCCTTTGCTGGTCTTATGTGAAAGGTGCACTCACTAGTGTGTGTGTTAGTTCACCTTTGACCTCTTTGACCACTTTGACCACTTTGACCTGTGGGTTCTCAATGCTAACCTTTATATTTTCAGATCGACCTGTTCACATCCAAACAGAATGGCTCTGTGGAGGATATGTCGGACAAAAAGTCAGCAGCCTCCATCAAGGGAATGTGGAAAAAAGCTGTCAAAAACCTCAAAACCGCATCGGAAAGCAAAATAGTAAGCTCTCTAAATATTTTTTTGATTTTTAAAACCAATTGTTGACCTACAATTTTTGTCTCGGAAATGGCAGCTAAGTCAACATTAAGTTTTTGGTTTAAGTTAGTTTCACTGAAAGTATAAGTGCTACACACCAACTAAACTTGGACCATATAGTTGCATCTTAGGTAGTACATCTCAACACATGCATTACATGCTGGTTGTGGCCTACCGTTCATAATCCATTGACTTTGTCAGCATCTCCATCAACATTTAGTTTTTGCGTTTAAGTTAGTTTTCTGAAACTATAAGTGCTAGACCAACCAAACTTGACATGTGCATTGATGGTCAAAGCAGCTAGGGCACAGGCGAGACATATCAATCTGAATGGCTTGTTAAGGTCTTTAAGGTCTGTTAATGAGGTAATGGTAATTCAATATCTAAACTTTATCAAACTCCATTAAAAGTAAACATGGAGGCCACCACCAGGGTATTTCCCATTATGAAACCGAATGAGAAACTACCAAATTATGATTATTCTCTGTAATAAACACAACCTAATAGGAGATTGATAGATTATCTCCCTTTACCTCAAACAGAACATGATTGGAGACTTCCAAGTTATCTCCCTTTATCTCAAACAGAACATGATTGGAAACTCCAAATTATCTCACTTTATCAAACACAACCCAATGGGAAACTACCAAATTATCTCCCCTTCATCAAACAAAAACTTATTAGAGACTAACAGATAACCTCCTTTTATCAAACACAACATGTTGGGAGACTAATAGAGTATCACCCTCAATCAAAATGATCTGATAGGGGACTACCAAATTATCTCCCCTTCATCAAACACAACCCTATGGTAGACTACCAGATTATCTCCCCTTCATCAAACACAACCCTATGCTAGACTACCAAATTATCTCCCCTTCATCAAACACAACTCTATGGTAGACTACCAGATTATCTTCTTTTATCAAAGACAACCTGATGTAAGACTAACATATAACCTCCTTTTATCAAACACAACATGTTGGGAGACTGATGGATTATCTCCCCTTTATCAAACAAAACTCTTTATGAGAGACTACCAGATCATCTCCCTTTATCAAACACAAGCTGATGGGATAATACTAAATTGTCTCCTCTTTATCAAACACAACCTGATTGGATAATACTAAATTGTCTCCCCTTTATCAAACACAACCCTATGGTAGACTACCAGATAATCTCCCCTTTATCAAACTCAACTTCATTACTTGCTTGTCTCCCTTTATCAATACGTATTTTCAGTAATATCAGAAATGTTTATATTGCAGATCAAGAAAGGCAGTTTTATAAAAAAGAAACAGATTTCCACAGAATCAGACGAACCAGAACCTGCACCATGTAAGTACACAAATGAAAAATCTGATGTTTTGTTTCTGTTAGAACATGCTATTCCCTCACAATCAGCATATCAATCCAGAAACATTGTGTATCTGAACCATAAACAAGACCCTCTCTAGAAGGTTGATGCTTAAAAAGCAGCTTACATTATATGGACCCATTGCAACACTTGGGACCTATTTTCTTTTTCCTCTCTTACCATCTCTTTCCTGTTGTTGTGTGTCTCCCTACCCATCCATCCATGTGACCTTAGCTGTTGTGAGGATGTTAAACCTCTAACAAACAAACAAACAAAAACAAACAAACATACATGGTTACAAACAAACCTTGGAGGCACGGTAGTCTAGTGGTAGGACGCAAGGCTGGTGACCAAAGGGTTGTGGGTTCAAGTCACGTCACGGCACTGTGTTGAATCTTTGAACAAGATACTTTACTCCACTTGTTCCAGTCTACTCAGCTGTAAATGAGCACGTGATTAGGCAGTGCTAGAATTGTAGAATGCTAGCTGTGAGTGCCAAAATGGCAGCACCAGCTATATGCCCCCCAGGCTCAGTTGAAAAAGATATTGGCTGGTTGCAAAGACCCTATAACTACGGATAATAATTTGTGAACCTCTTTGAGACGACCTACTGACTAGGCTGTGATAAAACGGTATATAAGTACCTCAAATTAATACCATTATTATTATTATTATAGAAAAGGATATATATGATGTTTTTAACCTGAATGTGATATTTTGTAGAAAGAATTTTTTTGATGCAGTTTTGGAATTTCCAGAATACCAAATGTTGTAAAAACATCACGAGAATTCAAAACAAATTCAAGAATTTTCAAAATTTTACATTGTAAATTGAACATAGTGCTGTTAGATAATATTTGTTTAACGTGATATGGTTTTCTTACACCACCGTATCTGTTTAGAACACAGCAGGAAATTGATGGAAGATAAAACTTACACTACATTTATACTGGTAGTGGCATTTAAAAACTGAACTGGAAATCAACGTCACCGCAGGAAAGTTGTGATATAATGCACAGCTAGATAAGCATACCATTTGGTGTTGAAACATCCATAAAACATTCTATCAATGTGACATTGGATTTGAACCTGGGAACCCCCAGAACTGCAGATAAGCACACTGCCAACTATGCTATCTGGTCTTCTGGTTTTGCTACAAATACATTTTAAAATACTGCAGGCAAAACACTGGAGAATTCCACTGCAGTTCTTCATATTTATACAGTTACCTCCCTTTTTTTTTTTTTTTTTGAAAACTACCATTGACCATGCAGGTAGCTCACTTGGTAAGTGCAACAGTTTAACAATATAACATGTACAGTCAAGGGTTCAAATCCTGGTCTAGCCACACTGAATATTTTTTACACAGAACACTATTGCATTTTGATGATATTTTCTATATTTCGTCTTAATTATTTTTTCATGAAAGTCCTGCAAGGTATGATATTCTTTTCAGAAATAATTTTAGCAATGCTACAGTCATGCCAGAAAAAAACCAGTTTCCTGTCCATATAGCTACAGTTTTTGGCAGTGGTACAGGGATCCTTCAGTGGATTTTATGGACAAGGGAACATAAAGGTCCCATATCACTTAACAATACCACAGCGGGTCCATATACCCTGGGTCACTGGGATACAGGGCAGACTTACGAGGTCAAGTTGTTCAGAGTCAAACTTCACATAGATGTCACCATTGTGTTTATAACCTGGGCAATGTTCTGATGATGGCGGCTTGGACCCTTGTAGGAGGCTGAAACTTGTAAACCATTAGTGAACACCAACTTATGTGGACCAGATGACGGTTGTCTTCAGTCTTTTTTTCTCTACGTTTAGTCGTTACAAAACTGTTATAAAACATTAGGGTTTCCATTGTCAAGATCTTAATAGAAGATACGGACATTTTAACCATGAAGTCCATACATTAGTTTACTTCCCAATTCTTTTAATTTACCCGATCATGAAACATTTACAGTTCATTTGGGAGTAACAAGCTTAACTCATTCACCCCTGAAATTTCATAATGAACTATACCAACCTTTGAATTGGAAGAGTTCAAATGTGTCTTCAGGGGTGAATGAGTTAAGGGTCCTCGTACCACTGCCAAAAACTGGATGCATTGGGAACATTTCTGGCATGACTATAGCTTTGATAAATCATTTCTGAAAAGAAAACCATTCCTTACGAGACTGAAATGAAAAAATAATAAAGATGAAATAAACAAAATATGATCGACATCAATGTTCTGAATGTAAAACTTTCAGAGGGGGCTAGACTGGCATTCCAACCCTGGACCTCAGATGTTTGTTTTATCCAGCCTAGCTAGCTTGTTAACAGAAGTGTCCTGGCCCCGCTGTGCTACACTTACACCCAAAAGAAAACATTAGGGGGAGGTCACTGTAAATGTAAAATCCCACAGTCAGAGGGACAGGGTCGTCCATAAATGCAGATTTAAAGAGAGGTGTTTTTAAAGTCTTCTTAAAAACAGTTGTCAATCTTAAATTCATATGTTTAATTTTTGGGATAGGTATACCTATAATTACCCTGCGTCCTGCATACATACACACACACACACACACGCAAGCACACATACACAACACATGGTGGCATGTCCTTAAATGACCTTGACTGTTAAAAGGATGTTAAACAAACCAAAACGAGTATTTTAGGAGAGGTGTATATATATGCTCCATAATTGAAATATATATCTGTATTGATATTCCGTCTTTGCGTATTGCAGAGTTATCTCTTGTGAGCAGGTATTGATTGTTATGTCATTTGTTTGTGAGAGTAACGTCATTAATTTTTGAGAAAACGATGTAATTTTCTCACACAAACCAATGACGTATAACAATCAATACCCACTCACAAGAGAAGATAACTCTTGCAATACGCAAAGAAGGAATAAGGCCCAAAGAAGTCATATTAGCGATAGCTTCCTGAATAACACTGGATCCTTTCAGATATATGTTTGTAGGATACAAATTTCCAAGAATTTTATATGGAACAACGAAGTAATTCTTACAATGTAGACAATATATGATGTTGTCAAATTTTTGAAGCATCATTGACACAAATAAAATAACACAAAATAATTACATTATATAAAAAACAGAATAGCTGAAATATTTTGAAAACTGGGTAGATCACGGCTAAAATATAAGCCAACACTAGCTTATTCCATAGCCTGATTTCTAAGCTTGCTTGAAATTGTGTCCCTGCTGTTGCAAATCGTGCCCTATGTAGTGATCAATCTTTAGGTTGTAAATAGTGTTGTCTTCAAGGTCAAAAGCTTAGGAAAATGAAGAGAAAAGGGAAATAGGGCTAGCCAGCATCAAATGCTCAATGGCCTTTAAATCATGAGAAAGAGCATCATTTTAATGTCCATACTATACTGGATAACTGCCCTTAAATTGTATAAACTCATTCACCCCTGCAATTTCAGAATGAACTATTCTAACCTTTGAATTGGAAGAGTTTAAATGTGTCTTCAGGGGTGAAGGAGTTAAGTACATTGGGTATCAAGTTTACTTATATTCGCTGTTATGATAAATTCGCCCCCTTAATTAGTGTGAGGGGCAAAAAAGACGCAAAAAAAAAAAAACTGAAGTGAAAATTTCCTGGTATATAGTAACCAGATGGAATATATTCAACCAGTCCGACCCAGCTTTGGACCCAGGACATCAATATTATGGACACAGTGAGATGATTGCTCAGCCAAATTACCATAGTCCTGGCAATCATGCTGGTCCATATTATACTACTGGCTGGAGAGGTCGAGTAGCAATGCTGTACTATCTAGGGTGTAAGATTTGGCTCAATGTTCCACCACTTACTGAGAGTATTTTTTTCTCCGTAAATTGTACACATCATTAGCATGCTTGCTAATTAACATTGGATATGAGATGTAGGCATCGAGGAGATGGGGGTGGGGGTGGGGGGTTATTATCTACGGAAAGGTGAAGGTCACTGTAGAGGTCAAGTTCCTACATCTGGTTGTAGTTAGCCAATAACTACTAGTGTAAATATGAATGATCAGACCACATCAGTTCCTCTTCTCCTTTATGTAATAATGAGGTACAGACATCATTAACTTTTGTCATTTCCCTCACAAACACACAGACTGGACATCAGTCCAGCCGGGAGGAATTCTTGTACAAAGATATCCACAGACTGGCATGTTAACCGATCTTGCACTATCTGGTCACTTCAAGGGGTCAGTGAGCGAGGTCACACAGATACATTTTATAAACATATACATGATACAGAAATTGGATTGAAATCTGTGTGAGCAGGAAAATGATACAAAATTTCTAAGATCACAAAAAGACTTATCCTCAAGGCCTTAAATCACTTATAATGTATTACACAGCTCTTTGGAAATTCAGGGTCAAGTATGGAATCAACATTCTAAGTTTTCTAAGAACAGGGAAAAAATGGTTATTGCTCTTTAACTTATTCACCTCTGAAATTTCATAATGAACTATTCCAACCTTTGAATTGGAAGAGTTCAAATGTGTTTTCAGGGGTGAATGAGTCAATTATGATATGTTTTATATTTATTTTAAAAACTTATGGTACATGTGAGGCCATAATGACCTCCCTCTGTAGATGAGACAGCTTATGTCATCATCGTGTTATTATGGTGTACATGCATATTGGGCATCATATTGCGTTACAATATGTATATATATATAATTTAAAAAGAAAAAATCTGAACAACATGTGCTTGGTGCTTTCATCTCTTCAAGATGATTCTTCAGACTAAAGAATCTCCTTGAAGAGATGAAAGTGCTAAGAACATGTTGTTGAGATGTTTTCTGTTGAAATTATTTTCTTCGTCCACAAAGATCATTCTCACTTACCGTCATATAGATATCTATATATATACTTCAGGTCGGTTTGCATTGTGTATTATATTTTGTATGTTGTGATAGAGGATGATTTAATTAACACATGAATGTGACATATTTCCATTATAGTCC